TTTAAGTTGTGAGTACCCTCCTGACTCAGTCTGGGCAAAGCATATGACTTAAGGAATTTATCAATGTCTTCACTATCTTCTATTTTATTGGAATATAGGTTTTCAAAATAATTTCTAATTGTCTTCTGTATTTCTGTAGCGTCTGTTGTGATATTGCCTTTTTCATCCCATATGTTAGTAATTTGAGTTCTCTCTCTCCTTCTCTTCGTTAGCATGGCTAAGGGTCTGTCGATCTTATTTATTTTTTCAAAGAACCAACTTTAATTTTGTTAATTTTTTCAATAGTTTCTTTTGTTTCAATTTCGTTGATTTCCGCTCTGATTTTAATTATTTCTTGCCTTCTGCTACATTTGCTGTTGTTTTGATCTTCCTTTTCTAGGGCTTTGAGATGAAGTGAGAGCTCATTTATTTGTTGGTTTTTCCTTTTGTTGAGGAATGACCTCCAGGCGATGAATTTCCCTCTTAAAACTGCTTTCATTGTGTCCCATAGATTCCGATATGTTGTGTCTGTATTTTCATTTATCTCTAAGAATTTTTTGATTTCCTCCTTTATGTCTTCTGTAACCCATTGATCATTCAGTAACATATTGTTCATTTTCCATGTGATGTAGGATTTTTCCTTCCGTCTTTTATCATTGATTTCCAGTTTCATTCCATTATGATCAGATAAAATGCATGGTATTATCTCCACCCCTGTATATTTACTGAGGGTTGCCCTATGGCATAATATATGGTCTATTTTTGAGAAGGATCCATGTGATACTGAGAAAAAAGTATATCCACTTGATGATGGTTGATATATTCTATATATGTCAGTTAAGTCTAGGTTGTTGATTGTGATATTGAGTTCTATAGTTTCTTTTTTCAGATTTTGTTTGGAGGAGCTGTCCAATTGTGAGAGACGTGTGTTGAAGTCACCCATAATTATTGTGTTGTGGTCTATTTGATTCTTGAACTTGAGGAGAATTTGTTTTATGAACGTCGCAGCACGATTATTTGGTGCATAAATATTGATAATTGTTATGTCTTGTTGGTGAATGGTTCCTTTTAACAGTATATAATGTCCTTCCGTATCCCTTTTGATTAATTTAGTCTTGAAGTCAATTTTATTCGATATGAGGATGGCCACGCCTGCTTGCTTACGAGGACTGTGTGCGTGGTATATTTTTTCCCAACCTTTCACCTGCAGCCTGTGTATGTCTTTTCCAATCAGATGTGTCTCCTGGAGGTAGCATATTGTTGGATTTGTTTTTTTAATCCATGTTACCAGCCTATGTCGCTTTATTGGAGAGTTTAAGCCATTAACGTTTAGAGTTACTATTGATATATGGTTTGTACTTCCAGCCATGTTTGATTATTTATCTTCTTCTTTTTTTTTAATTTAGTTTATTTCTCCATGGTTAGCTTTCCCCCCCGCACTCTGTCTTTATAGAGGCACTTCCCACTGATGGTTTTGGTTATTGTTTTTCATTTCTTCCTCGTGTAGTGTTTTGCTCAAGATGCTTTGCAATGCTGGTTTTCTGGCTGCAAATTCTTTTAGCTTTTGTTTATCATGAAAGATTTTTATTTCGTTGTCATACCTGAAGCTTAATTTTGCTGGATACAGAATTCTTGGTTGGCATCCATTGTCTTTCAGTGTTTGAAATACGTTGTTCCAGGATCTTCTTGCTTTCAGCGTCTGTGATGAAAAATCTGTTGTTAACCTTATTGGTTTACCCCTGAATGTAATCTGCCTCCTTTCTCTTGTAGCTTTTAATATTTTCTCTTTGTTCTGTATATTGGATATCTTCATAACAATGTGTCTTGGCATTGGTCTACTGTGATTTTGTGTGCTCGGTGTCCTGTATGCATCTACAATTTGTATATCCGTTTCCTTTTTTATTTCTGGAAAGTTTTCTGTAATTATTTCATTCAGCAGGTTACTCATTCCCTTGGTTTGAATCTCTGTACCTTCTTCTATCCCGATGACTCATATCTCTTGGTTCGCCGCTGCACCTTCGGGCAGAGCCTGCTCTGGGGTCGTTCTGCACCCCCCTGCCAGGGGACCCGTGCTCCGGAGGAGGGGGACGAAGAGCCGCGGTGGCAGCCGCTTGGGCCCCAGGGGCCGGGCAACGGGCTGAAGAGCTGCAGAGGCCAGGGCAGCTCTGCTACGGTCGCAGACGAGCGCGGCGCCCATGAGCGCGGCCCAGAGATGGAGGTGATGGCGGCAGGGTTTGATTTCTAGAAATCTGGACTGAAAACAGAGGCAGCAGTTTGTATAATCCCAAGAACTTGCTTATGCCAGGAAGCTGTAAGGGCAACATGAATATCATTGAGGAGATCTAACATGGTGGCAGGTGCAGAGAGATCAAGTCTCTGACATCTTCAACTGCATGGGCATAGGGAGCCGTAAACTGTCTAAATGCTGTTTGCTCAGGATCACTAGGCAATGCTGAGCTGACGTGGATCTGGGGTGTACAGGCTGGGCCCCTCAGAACACACACACAGAGCCCGAATCGGAGGCAATTAAGCTCCGGTTCGCCTGCTTCATGTGACTCAGCACTAACAATCCCGCTGAAATAATTGGTCGGCCCTTAGGAACTTACAGAGGTAAAAGCCAACCAAGCCTTCATAGGCAGTGGCCACAGGACTGAAACGGGGATTGGGAGAGACAGTCAGGACCCACCCGTTGCATTGGTCACCCGGCAAAGGGAACGAATGGTCACCATTTGCATGGGATAGCACCATGGCAGAGAAATGGCATCACGGGCGGAGGAGATAACTGCATTGAAACCAGCGGGGAAACCTTAAGGGCCACTCCCAGCTCTCCTGTGAACGCAATAAGCAGACTGAGGGAATCAGGAGTGGTGCGGGACTCGCGGCGCGGAACTCCTGGCTACCGCTCCCACCAGTGCTGACAACTGAGGTATCTTGCACCAGCTACTGGGGGCATGGCTACAGGAGGGCAAGCAAATTCGCTGGGGGATCTCAGCCCCAAGCTCTACAAACTTAGGGTCTGAGGGAGGCAAACAGGGAGAGTGATCCCAGGTGTTCATGAAAACAGGGCTCCCAGGAGCAGCAGACCTGGCGTGTAGCCAGTATTGTGGTGAGCGCCACAGGTGAGCACGGCCTGGCTTGAGGAAACACAAGACAAGGCCCTAGACACTCAGGATTGGAGACCCGCCCAGTCTACGAGAAAGAGCTGCTGCACAGTGAATGGTTCCCACCTATTGAGAGGAGAAGCTTGGCCCAGTGGGCACAGCTCCACCTACTGGAAGAGAACTTAATAGAACTCTAGGACTGCATTTATTATTATTATTATTATCATTTTTTTTCTTTTTTTCTTTTTCTTTCATTTTCAATTTTTATTTGTTGTTGTTCTTTAACTTTTTTTCAATGTTTCCAATTTTTTTCATTTTTTTATTTTATTATTATTAATATTTTTTAAATTTTAATTTCATTTTTTTATTATCATTATTATTTTTGTTAAATTTTTTTCCATCTTTTCTTTCTTTCTTTATTATCTAATCTTTGTTATTTTTGTTTCTTTTGTCTTCATTTCTTTTCAATTTTCTTATTCCCCCTTCCTTGAATTCTACCTGCCTACTCTCATTCTCTTTAGTGACTTCTTCCTTTCCCTTCTAATATCTTTCCTCCCAAGCATCAAATAAATCTATAAGAGTAAACAGTAACTCAGCAGTCAAACAGAACAAGAAGTAACATGAGCAGCATAAAAAAGCAAGGAAGAAATGGAAAATATATTTATTCTAACATGTCAGGATTTTTATCTTTTTTGCATTTTGTGATCAGTGACTATAATCATCTACTAACCTGATTTGTCTTTTTGTTGTTCCTTTCATGAAATCTTGATACCATACAATTCCAATTGGCTCAAGTATTTAAATATTTGCTATTAAAGATTTTTAATTGGTTATTTGTGTAGATGGGGTGATTCTGCTCTGATGTCAAGGTAATTCTTCCAATAAAGTAACTATGTTTAAGTAATCAGGATCCATCCACAAGTGGAGTTCCCACGTGGAAAACCTGTGTGGACATTTCTGGTGTGTCTTACTGATCTCATCTTCCTTTTGCACACAGAGATGATAGTCCTGTGACTCTTTTATGACTAATAATTTTATGATGTATTTCTCAAAGCCATCATTCTCATTCATTATATTTCCTTGTTTGTATGAGTTTTAAGTAACTTGTTGTTACCATTATTATTCCATTACAATTATATTAAAAGGTCTTTTTTCTTTTATTAACCATTTCTTTGCTGCAGTCATTTGAACACATACATGCTGCTGTCTGGGCCTTTATTGTACCAAATTTATTCACTCATTGAACTGCTTATAGAACTTGAAATATTTCAAGGTTGGCTTTTCAAGAGGTGGAAGTGTCACTTTACATGTCTCCAAACATTGATATTATATGAATATTTTACACATTGGGAATGTGTCATGGATGATACTTGAAACTAACTGTTTTGGGAGCACAGTCTATCTCATGGATACAAAGCAGAGAGAATAGCAACTAGACTGTTTTCAAAAGCTTTTTGACAGCTCTTTTTGTCTCCCTTGGGCACAATCTCCTTATGAGAATATCTTTGACGAGTCTGATTTACATCTGGACTGTCCGCCAAACTTCACATCCACTGATGGCAGAAAAGTTAGGAGTTGGGCTTTTATTCAGTGCTTGGATTATGGTATATATCCTTCACTTCACTCTTATATGAATAAATATATGTATGTATGTGTGTGTATGTATGTATGTGTGTGTGTGTGTATATATATATATATATATACACACACACACACACACACACACACACACGCACACACAGTTTTTGAACTTAGGTATTTTCCTCTGAATTAGATAATGGAAAGATAATGGAAAGTATATTATTACATAATTAAAGTCACTCTCCTACATGACAGTCAGTTCCACTAACTCTTAATTCAAATTAAAATTTGAATAATGGTTTGGTCCATGTTCTATTGATCTAACAATTTTTATTTTAGGAGCCATTGACATTCGGGGATGTGGCCATTGATTTCTCTGAGGATGAGTGCGAATGCCTGGATCCTGCTCAGCAGAATTTATATAGAGAAGTGATGTTGGAGACCTACAACAACCTAGTCTTTGTGGGTGAGCATAACTTTTCTTCAAAATCCTATTTATCATTATTTAATTTTCTTCCCTTGAAGTATATATTTTGGGAACTTCACCATAAGAATAAGTTTCAGGTTTATGCTTTTAATAAAAATATGTCGTAGTTCTTGGTGCTGACAAGAAAATGTTAATGATGTTTTTTTCATCCTTAATATTTTCCTTTGTTGGCATGATATATATCCTTCACTTGACATATGGTTGACTTAGAGAAATGTAGTCATGTCAAATACTGTGGTCCACATATAGCAGAGGACATAGTTGAGATAGAGGAGGAAGCCTAAATTCAAAAAGATTAATTGAGACATTATCCAGTAGAAAAGATTTTTGAGAAGCTTTGATTTCTTTCTCTTGTTATCATAGAAGAACCTGTCCTGTGTTTTGTGCTTAAAATTATCTAGTCTCCTGCTTTTCCTCCAGTAATGTCTCTGTACATGCAAATTAACAACAAAACACTCCCCTTACATTGTGAGTGTCACTATTATCTGACAGCTCTTCCATAATTTTTTAAAATATTTTTTTAGTTTTTAATGAATTTCCCATTTATCCATATATGGTGCTGAGGATTAAACCCAGGGCCTCATACGTGCTAGGCAAGCACTCTACCACTAGTATACAACTCCATCCCCTCTTGTATTATTTGCAGAAAATTTTTGCACATTTCAGGAGACCTCTAGGTCAACCCATTGTAATACATCACTATCATAAGTCAGTTTCTCTGATCTTATTTATACATCTTTTCACTAAAATTTCCTTCTCAGTGTTCTTTCTGATATGTGTAACGGATTTTCTCTGAAATTATCTGCCATGGAATGAATGTCAAGAGAGAAAAAAACTGCTCTTTTTAGAGATGGTGTACGTTGTAGTTGAATAAGAGGATTTGTAAAATAATACATCTTTTAATATTTACTACTTGGTTGGTGAATTTTTTCTTTATTTTTTTATTGTGTACAATAGGTTCCATGTTACAGACTGGGTTTCCTCATATCAGTTAATTGCCTCACAAATTAATATATGAATGTATCTTGTTTGTATTACTAATAATGTTTTATGTGCTTTGGCTTGTATAAATATTAAGCCTCTTTTGACCATTACTTTTGTATTTTATCTTGATTGGGTTTTCATTCTGCCCATGTACGTAGAAATTGAAGTTTCCTATATGTAAATGTAATGGAGATTGATGGCAGTGATACTCTAATGCTGAACTATACCCTAAGCTCCTTTTCATTCATAGTTGGAGAGAGGTTCTCACTAAGTTATTGAGGATGTCTTGAAATTGCAGTTCTCCTGCCTCAGACTTCCTAGTAGCTGAGATTGCATGCATTCCCATCATTTGTATATTGATGAGTTTGCTCTTATTTGTAGGAAAATGACCACATCATTTTAAATGTAGCTTTGAAAAATGTAGCAATTCTCTTTTATATGTTGTTTGTAATTTTCATTGTAATCAAAACCAAAAAATAAAACTGTCTCCAAAATTTCAAATATACGGTTCAGTAACATTAATTCAAATTGTTATGCAATGTATCTCTAAAAAGTTTACATCTCAAAAAAAAAAAAAATCAATTCCTAGGAAGCAAGTGCTCATTTCGGTCTCCCCATCACAAAACAATTCTCTTTTGTTCAGAAAGCTGCTTCTTTAGTTTAGAGATGTCATGTTCCTAGAATTCTGCAGTATTCTTTCGGTGACATTTCATTTAACCTAGTGTACATAGATTTTGTAAAATATATAATTATAATCAATTCTTTGACTTCAAAGTTCTAGTTTCCATATTCTAAATTGGCTCATCATTCCTTTCAAGGGATATTTGGGTTGCATACCCTATGATGGCTCTGTTGAATAACATTGTAACAACACTGGTGTGCAATGTTTTTTAATTTGCTATTGATGTGAAAGTTATTGCCACACTCACTAAGAAGTCCATCTACCTAACTCCATGTCTGCATTTACAATTGAATGCTGTAAATTTTAGTATATTTTTAAGCAGGGAAATAGTCTTATTTGTATTTTGGGGGATATTCATACCATTTAAAGGATAGATTTCTCTGCCAAAAAAAAAAAAAATAACAACAGGAGTTTGATGAATACTACCTGGAGCCTCTAGTTAACTTTAAGTAGTGTAAACATCTTTTATTTTATTTTTAAATTCTTGAACAACAGCATGCTAAAGAGTGTTCAATAACTGACACATATTTAGGGATTTTTGAACATCTCCATCACTTTTGACTTCAAATTTTTATTCCATGTTGGTTACAAAATAACTATCACTTAAATATTTATTAACCTTTGTTTTATACATAAAATTGGTCTCTCCAACATAATATGCCACTTGTGATTAAGAACAGGGATTCTATAAGTCCAATAGTTTCAAAATATTTTCAAAGTCTTATTCTTTGCAGTTACCATTTTGCTTCACTGTATTTCCCTTTTCAGTAAGTGGGGATTGATGTCTCCTAGGATGACAGTGATTCTTTGTTTTAATTCAACTCTCTCAATCTTTTCTTTGTGTGTTTGGGAAGTATGATGTACATTGTGAATGTATTTACTCTTAATTCAGAACCTAGGGAAAGGTTCATTTTCTCTATTTTGCGTCTTTTCAAAGGCTTTTTTTTTTCAATTTAAAACGTATTATGTGTCCTATAACTGTCTTAAATCATGTTTTGTGAACTATAATTTAGAAATCCCAGGTTTTGTTCAGTCACTTTTGTGTGTGACATTCTTATATCCTTTTGCTTTCAGTATGTGTGTCCTCAGATTCAGAGTATCCGTGGACTACCTACATTTGTAATTTTTAGAGTTAATTCAGATAGCAAAGGTTTGTTTGATCAGAATTTTGTAATCTTGAATTTGCCAACAAAAAATATCTAAAAATGAAGAATCTCATACTCACATTTTGTATGAGTATCAACTTGACTTCACTTTTTAAAAATTCAAAATATTTTTGTCTTTTCAAAACTATATTATTGTTACAGGTATATATGCCTATTAACAGTTTTGTTTTTATGCTTTTGTTTTTCAAATTCTATTGCAAAATTACATGTTTTGTGACCCATCATTACAATAAAATAGAATTGTTTGTGCCAAGAAATTTTTAGAATTTCATATGACATATGTTGCTGTGCACACTTACATTTCAGTATGAAGGATTACCGTTAGTTCTTTTTGGAGAACAGATCTAGTGTTGATGAATAGGGTGTGTATTTATATCTTTAAATTCTTAATTTTCCTTCTCTTTTGAAAGATAGTAGCTGTGAATATAATTTCTTGGTTGATAATTTTATTGTTTCATCCCTTAAAAATAGCCCCGAATTCCTTTCTGTGTTGTGAAGTTTTGACAAAGGATTTCACAGGTATATAGTTACAAATTTCTAGGTGACCCATCTTTTTATCTTAGATGTTCTTAATATTCTCTGTAAGTTTTAAAACTTGGATTAAAACCTGCTTTGAGTCTTTACAACTTGGAGATAATTGAGCTGCTTGGATGTTTTATTTATTTTTTTATTTTATTTTTATTTTCTGAGATGCATTTATTAGTACTGGAAAGAGAACTACCACTTTACATTTTTTAGTTTGGCTGGCCTTGAAATTTTGATCCTTCTGGCTCAACCTTCTATGTTGCTATGTACAATCACCCCTGACTATTTCAGACATTTTCTAATGAAAGTCTTTAAACACACATTTTCTGCTTGTTACTATTAATCATTCTTGACTACATTTTGTTCTATTTTTTTGTGTGTTGGTTTAGTTTACTAAACTTCTTTTAAATGATAATTTTATATTCCCTTTGAGTAATTCATAACTTTCTTTTCTTACAGTACATTTAGCCATGTTTTTTTTTTTTCCTGTTGGTAAGCAGGAACATCTTTTTGAAGAGTCCCCAGATATTCACATGTTTTATATTTCTTTTTTAGTGAAACAAAAGAAACTTGGTAGATTTTTTAAAGTATATTTTGTAGGAGGAAAGGCTTTGTGTAACACAATGTATTTTTCTCTACTATATTACTCTTCATAGTAATGTAGTCATCGTGTATACTGTGAACAATAAGATGATTTGAAAGTTCTCAAAGTAATTTTCTGTGTACATTTTTATTTGATTTATATATATCTGCAGTACTGATGAACTTGGATTTAATAATCCACTCCTGTGCTGATGTTTCTTTATTGGTGTAATTTCCTATGTTTGAAAAATATACTCAGCCCAGTACAGTAAGGAAACATGATTGTTATTTTTATTTATTTCAGGCATGACTTATCATCCTCGAGAAATTTTACCCGAACAGGGAATAAAAGAGGGAGAGGGAAGATATGGAAAGTGTGACCTTGACTATTTACAACTAAGAAAACAATGGGAAAATATAGGTGAGAGCAAAGTTCAAAAATCTATTATAATAGACAAAACCAAGTAGTAGTCCCTATTAATGATAAAAATTTTATGGTCAAAAGATACCAGAAACAATTAACATATGAAAAAAATTCAATCTATTCCACTTACTTTTGAGGAGCTGTATATGTCTTTAAGAATATATCCACAGGCATCTTTAAAGAATATATTTCCTCTGAAAGTGAATGTGGAAAATTTGAAAAGAAATCTGGTCCATGCATCAGCTTTTAACTTGGCCAATTATAAATGTAGCACTGAGTTAAATATGTTCTCTGTGCAAATATTTGATGGGAAGTTTAAGAAAAATTTCCAAAAGGGATACTTTTGAGAGTTTCTCTACAAAATGTCCATTTTTCTGTAACAAAACACTAATTTCTCCTTTTGCCCAAATGGAAAACAATAAAAATTGTAGAAAGGTTTTTACTCCCCTAATGTTGCTCAATGGCAATTCTTATACAGATTTGCATAATGTGCACTATATAAATAATGGTATAAGTAACACCATTAGCCATGTCTGTACTCTGAGTAATTACCAGTATTTTTACATTGGTGATAAAAATTATGAATATAGAGAAACACCTAGTCATTTTCTAAAGGAAATTTACCAAGATGAAAAATGTGGGAAAGTCTTGCTTCAATGCTCAGCAACTATTACTAATCAAATTTCATAGTCAAGGCAAAACTTGCAAGTGTAAGGTATATGAAAGGTCTCCTAATCACATGGCAGAGCTTGCTCAATACAAGAGAATTTATAAAGAAAGAGAACCCTATAAGTTTAGAAGATGTTGAGCAAGTCGATATTTTGATATATGCTTTAAACAAAGCAGATACTATGATAGTGATAAACCCTATAAATTTAAGGAATGCAGAAAAACTTTTAGTGAAAGGTTACAACTTGTTAAGCATCACAGTATTTACACTGAAGAAACTACCTGTAAATGAAAAAAGTGTGGCAAAGCCTTAAAATAATTGTTCAACTCTTACTCAACACCAAAACTTTATTCTGCAGAGAAGACCTACCAATGTGAATAATGCAACACATTCAAGAACTTTACTCAACATCACAGGGTTCACACAGAAGATGTGGCATACAAAGAATGTGAACAAACTTCTAATAAAAGTTCCAATCTTATTTTTTACCAGGGGACACACACTGGAAAGATGACCCACATATTTAAACAATTTTGCAAAGCTTTTAGTAAAAAACCAAGCCTTAAAAATCGCCAGAGAATTCATACTGGAGAGAAGCCCTACAAATGTAAAGTGTGTGACAAAAGTTTTAATAGAAACTCAAATCTTAATCACCACAACAGGATTCATACTGGAGAGAATCCCTACAAATGTAAAGTGTGTGGCAAGAGTTTGAGTAAAAAATCATTACTTACATGGCACCAGAGAATCCATACTGGAGAGAAGCCCTACAAAAGTAAAATATGTGGCAAGAGTTTTGAAAGAAACTCAAATATTGATTGCCACAACAGGATTGATACTGGAGAGAAGCCCTACAAATTTCAAGTGTGTGACAAGAGTTTTAATATTAAATCATCACTTACTCAGAACCAGCGAATCCACACTGGAGAGAAGCCCTACAACTGTAAAGAATGTGGCAAAGCTTTTAATTGCATCTCACAACTTAAGTGTCATAAAAGGATTCATACTGTAGAGAAGCCCTACAAATGTAGAGAATGTGGCAAAGCTTTTAGTAGCATCTCAAATATTCATCGCCACAACAGGATCCATACTGGATAGAAGCCCTACAGATGTAAAGATTGTGGCAAAGCTTTTAATACAAAATCATCACTTACTCGACACCAGAGAACCCATACTAGAGAAAAGTCCTATAAATGTGAAGAATGGCAAACTTTTTAAAATTGAAGATCACATCTTACTAAACATTACAGATTTTATACTGGAGAGAAGGTTTACTAGGGAAAACATTGCATCAGTGTCTTTAAGGATGAATCATCCCTTATTTCACACCAGAGATATGATAGCAAAGAAATTATACAAGTGTAATATAGGTGTCAGAGTCTCCAACAGTTGTTCACACCCTACTCAGCATCTCAGAATTCATATGAGTGAGAGGACATGTGGAAAAATTTTTGCAAAGCTTTTGGCCATTGATCAAACATTTTTAAAACACTGGAGGACTTATAGCATATAGAAACCCAAAGAATGTGTCCAAGACTGTATTCAAATTTCAGACATTTTTCAATTTCTGACCTCATACATGTAGCTAATGTGGAATAGCATTTGTCCAAAGTATGTACCTTAGATAACAGCAAAATATTTACAAAAACATTTTGAGAAATATAAAAATTGTAAGCTTCTTATGTATAGCCCATTCCTTGAAGTATTTTGGACCTTAGAGGGAAAAATCATTTAAATGTAGAAAATGGGTAATTGCTTTTGACATTTGCTGAAAATTTTCTTAACACCTTCAGCTGATACTGTAGAAATGAGGAAATACTAATATAGAAGAATGCATCCCTAAAAGGATATAACTTTAGTATAAATCAACATTTACTAAATATTCTCATTTTTCACAACTGGAGAAAACATAATTCTCATAGTTGATTATTTAAGAAATGTCTTAAGATTTATATGAAATTAAAAATTTTTATTTTTTATTTTATTTTTTTTCAATTTTTTTAAAGAGAGAGAGAGCACGAGAGAGCACGTGAGAGAATTTTTTTAATATTTATTTTTCAGTTTTCGGCAGACTCAACATCTTTGTTTGTATGTGGTGCTGAGGATCGAACCCAGGCCGCACGCATGCCAGGCGAGCGCGCTACCACTTGAGCCACATCCCCAGCCCCTAGTTTTTATTTTTTTACTAAACTTAGGGTCACTTAATCAGTAAACCACCTCCCCAGATTTGTTTTTCATTTTTACTTAAAGATAGGGTTTGCTAACTTATTTAGGGCCTTACTAAGTTATGGAGCCTAGCTTTGAACATGCAAAACGCCTTCTGTAGCTTCTTAAGTCCCTAGGGTCACAGGCATGGAACACCATGCCTGTTTTACATAGCATTTTTATACATATTTGCATTACGTCTGCAATTTGTTACTAAATAAAAAGTGGGAATTTCTTAATGTTAACCTTGTCATGCATTTAATGACGTTATTAGATCACATACTTCCTACTATTCACTTTGCTAATGGAGCGATGCAATAGTAAAGCATTCTATTGGGTAAATAATGCTATAACATCTCCATTAATTATTTCATGTTTAATCTAGTTTTATTTGGGGAATATTATTTATGTAAATTATTTTCGTAATTATGGAAAATTTCCGACAGTTATAGGAAGGACCTAGGGATATTAAAATAATGCCCAGACATCCCTAGTTTGAATTATGACATTAACATTTCTCTTTTTTTTTTTAGAGAGAGAGAGAGAGATTGATTGATTTAATTTTCGGCAGACACAACATCTTTGTTGGTATGTGGTGCTGAGGATCGAACCCGGGCCGCACGCATGCCAGGCGAGTGCGCTACCGCTTGAGCCACATCCCCAGCCCAACATTTCTCTTTGTACAGTTGCAGTACTCCCAAAGGGATCTTCAACTCTGGAGAGTTGTACAAGCTCCCAATCAGGGAAAGGAGAAAGACCCAAGAGACTGGGAGCCAACATGCGTATTCAGATAAAAAAGGAGGTTTACTGAAGGAGGAAATAGTCTCAGTGTTTCCTGGAGAAACCACGTGGTCTACAGGCCCATCCTGACTCTTGGACTGAAGAAACCATGCAGTTCCTCATGAATTCCATGACGTTCATCACTGAGGAGACTAGACTGGCCTCAAGTGTAGGAAAAACATCCCAATATAGGACCACCTCTTTAGTCTTGGAAACCCAGTAGAAAAGTGTAACCAGAAACATGTAAAATGGTGACTGTAAAAAGAAAAATACACACTATAGGAGCATTTATGTCCTCACATTTTTTATTTCATTATATATTTTGATTTTGTAGACATTTTTCATTCTACTTAATAACTTACAATGTAATGATTGTTATACTTATTGGATTATATGATAGATAGCATGTGTCATGGTCTTCCAGAACCCTCTGCAACCCAGTAATTATAAGATAGTATAAACTAAACCTGTCCCTCTTCAGATCTTACAGCTCCAGGAGTCCATGACACTACAGAGAGAGAAACAAAATTTTGATTGAAATAAACCTCTAGATTCTCATCCACATGCCCTGATTAAAAAGTAAAATCACAATATTCTCTTCATATGTGAGCCTTTTGGGTCAACAAAATACCACCCACAAACATTTCATTTAATTTTATTTGGGAAAATTAATATTGAAATATAATGATAAATTCTAGGAGAATAATATTCACAGCATTGTTTATTCCAAAGGGTAAATCTCTAGGTTTCATGCTTATCTCCACATTATTTTATGTATAAAACAGGCTTCATTTTACATATCACAGTTTTAATTATTTATAAGGCCCGGAGGAAAGATTCAGTACTAGAGGTCTAAGGAAAATACAAAAGCTCTTTCCTTTTCATGTGACTGCATGATGTCTGCATATGCTTGATGAAACAGCTAAAGAATGCTGATTTCTCAATGCATCTGGCTCCATTGCTCACTCATTGGAACCCCAATTTATTGAGTCATCTCAAGGCTATCACTGCCTCCTCTAGGATCTGACCTGTTCTTGGGAGGATGTAGTGTTCTTCATGGGATCACTAGGTCATACAAGTTGTTAGAATGAAGCTTTCTTTGTTCTAAATTGTGTTTATTCAGCCTCACTTTCAATAAAATTTAGAACAAGAAGTCACACTCTCACCTGTGGCGAGAATAGTCTGCCCAGGACTTGCCAGTCAGGACCCTGAAAAGCTGTTTGGGACTCACTAGTACATAGGTTCAGTGTTGGGGTTTTCCTAGTCTGGCAATACAGTTGCCTGTGTCTGTTACTTTGGCTTTCTCTCTTGCTTTCATAGTATTACTCAAAGAAACACTGTC